AGAAACTTCAAGCCACTAGCTTGAAGCCCACTGGGGAACGTGAAGGATGAAAAAATATATATAAATAGGTGTTCATCGACTTATCAAATAGCAAAGAGACAGATATGATGCCAGAGAAGGCAAATGATACATCGTTGCAGAGAAATATGGGAGACGTGAAAGGAACACAAAGAAGCACACCCTGATAGAGGAAGGCCAGAAGTAGCACTGCAACACGAAGATCTGTGCAAGTGGTGCGTTGAAGATAAGGATAAAGATTCCTTTACCAAGTTTTTCGTCGTCTATCGTTAGAGGATGAGATAAAAAAGAAACTAAATATCCTTCAAGTAGAGAATAATGAAAAAATGGTTAGTTTTCATATAATTAGTGTTTATACTAATATACCAATCAATTTGGCGGCCTTAGAAGCAGTTAAAAACGGAACTAAGTATTGATCCGGAACTTATTCATACGACAAAGTTACTCAATGAGGAAATTATCTTAGGAATTCAATTATGCTGCTTCATGTCTACTATTTTAAAATCTCAGGGCGAAATATGTAGACAAACAGAAGGTGTAGCAGTGGGATGGATCACCAGTATCCCCATTAGCAGCAGATATATTTATGGAAGATAGCTGGGAAAATATTGCTCTTAATACATTTAATCCCACTACAAAAATATACTGGAGATATGTGGATGACACTTTCACTCACAGTGTTAAAAATAGAAAACATCTCTAGCTTCTTCACACACACACACACACATAAACTCAGTAGTAAGGGGGAATAAAATTCGCATTTGAATCGGAGAATGAACAAGGAGAATTAGTTAGCTATGATGTTAGATTTTGAAATAAAACGAACAGAAGAAGGTTGCCTAGTAAGTCAATGAAAGCTTCGCAATTAAATCATCAGCCAGATCAAAGAACACCACTACATTGAAATCATCCATTTGAGTTACAAATCTTCTCCATTATGTCCAAATCTTATGAAGGTTAACTACGCGACAACCTTTTTTTAAGGTATGAACGTTAATTTGTGAAGCGGGGAGAAGCCCAGTCAAACATTACGGAAGGCAATTCAGCATTCAATATTGCTCACTCGATAAGGATAGTCTTACAAATCCTGAAGAGGATATAGTTCCGCCTTGGTTACTCATCTCATTCATCTGAATTCTGTTGTGGTGACAGCTGTCTGCAAGCCAAAAAATTTTAGACAACAATTTACGTCAATATTTACGTCCTGAATCGGGGTCATGAGAAAAAAAGCAATAGCAAAGCTTAACCTTCATGAACTCACCAACCAGTCACAGCAGACTTAACGTGCGCAAATACGACTCACAGATACATGGCTTAACTTTCTAAGAAACAGCCACAAATAGATGACAGAATAACCCTGAGCAGCAGGAAAACAACCAATCAGAAGAGGTTGCTTCTCCACTGACAATAACGCTAATAATAATGTACATAAAAATCTATAAATATCTATTGATTTTCTCAATAAACGATCTGTTGTCTGGCCCTTGTCTTCTGTCGTCACACTGTTATCCCTAACCACCTCGGAATGACCATAGCGTCGCGTGTTGTAGAGACCCTACATGCTCACCAAATTTGATGATAGTCGTGAGTATTTTTTGATGCCCTTTTTAACTTCACTATTTCTAAGGCCTGAGTGATAAATGTTCTTAAATCCATACAGAAAAACTTATCTAACCCTTAGCTGGATAAAATTTCCTCCCCTAGAAACAATTAAACCACTCCCCACAGTTCACTATAAGTATAATGAATGCAAAATCATCATATCACCATATAAGATATCTTGAGAAGCAGTAAGAATAATACTACTAGTAATAAGGCGAAAACACATTTTGTTGTCATGACAACTGTTCAATAACAAAAACAACAGTTACTAACAATTGAAAAATTGAAATCTGTAGAGAGAGAAAGAGGGAGAGAGAAAAAAAGCCCACAAAGTTTGAAACTCTTTTTTTCAACTCTGAATATATACATTTATGCTGTAATATAAGAAGCTGTTGATTTTAACACCGGGTTTTTTAAAATATATATAAGTTTTTCAAAATTTCTTAACAAAACAGCTTGTTTTCTCGGCAAAAGTGGAACTTTTAGTAGTAATAAGGAGTGGCTTAAAGTATTACTTATTCTATGTCTTTGTTTTTTTTCTTCAAGTGATAAGTTACCCTGAGTTGTGTTCAAATTCAAAGAAGGGTGAAAAACTTTGTTTTCAGAGAGAGAGAGAAAAAAATCCATTTTTAAGTTGTTTTTTTGTTCTGTTTTTCACATTTTCTGAAACAGTAACCAACTGTCGTCGTTTAGAAAAAACTGGATTGTGTTTTCTTCTCAGGTACTGATTAGCCAAGATTTCTTCATGAAATGAAACATCAGCTGGAGAGTCACTATTGAAAACCAACCAGCAAGGAGTAGTGGACAGCTTCTTCGTCCCCATGCTGGTCCTCTTCAGCAGTTCTCACTCATAACCCTACTCCTGAAGGTTGAACCCATGATGCCACTTGGGAAGGAGTTCATTGGCCTATAAATTCTATCTTCTGTCGATTTGGCGATATACAAAGTGAACGCCAATCAAAATCATTTGTGGGTTTCTGTCCTCAAACTGAAACTGATGAACCCTACTGTCCTGACTCCTCACTAGAACTCCACTGGAACTGTTAGTATATCAGCTCCTCGTAAAGAAGCCTCGATAAGGTCTGATGTTATTGATATATAAAGTTGATGAAGGCGTATCTTGCCTTTCCGATTCTGACTGGCTGGCTAGCTGGCCTTGACATTTTCCGTTCCTCTGGTCTGTGGTTGAAACCGTGCCTCCTGGCCAGATAAGTGAAAGAAGTGGCCTCTGTCAAATCCGTCCCATTGATGGTGGTTTGTGTTAGTTGTTGTTGTTGCTGTTGGTTGGCTGGTTATCTTCACCTCCGTTTTCTCTAAGTTCACTTGGAGTCCTGTCTTCGTTGCCAGATTCTTCTTCCAGTTTGTTGGTTTTCACCTGTGGGTCTTCGAGTCTGTGTGACATCAAACATAAATCATCAACGCGCGAATTCCAGATCTTCCAGAGTCTTCCCATCGGTCAGTGTAGCGCATTCCTGTCTTCTCACTCCCCAGGCACGGTATATCATATAATCCAGTTTACCACAATTAGGAATATTATGGGTGGTGATAATGGATAGACAGCTAGCTTGGTTTACTCTTGTATTCACTTCAAACGCCTCGCTGAGGAGAATATATAAATATGATATGTTTTCCATAATAAAAGTCTGTTAATAATCCTTTTATCTTCTGCCGTCATAGATCTGTCTGCATCCTCAATGAATGTTAGTGTTCTCGTCCAGACTTGAACCCCAGACCCAACATCATTCGAAACACCAAAGTATCACCCACTATGCCACTGAGCCACCAAAAATTTCATCTCCACAACAACAATTAATACCAGCTGAATAAAACGTGGTTCCTACGACTCAGTGGCCGAGTGGATAAGGTGAACAATTCTGAATCCCTCTCACCTGATATTATGTGACTTATAAGCCAACATAAGCAAGAGAACTATTGAAAATCAAAGGGGTACTGAACAACTGTTTCCACCTAGTTTAGGACTCTTCATCAGTACGCACCAGTCACCATCCACTGGAAGAGATTCGACAGACATCAGTTCTTTCGCTTATCTACGAACCATCGGGACGGATGACGGTATCAAAGCCAGTTCAAAATGGGAAAGTCAAGATACGCTTTCATCAACCAACCTGATACCATTTTGGAAATCTTCTGCACTTCGCAGTTTAAACAACAAGATTCGGATTCTGTTCAACACAGATGTCAAGTTAGTCAGTCACTGCTTCTATACGGGTCACAAACGTGGCCAGCGCGTCACCAAAAGCATTTCCAACAAATTACAGTAGACTTTTATCAACAGCTGTCCACTTCGCTGGTTGGTCCCATACTGAAGATCAGGTGGCCAGTCAACCAACCAGCCAATCAGAAAGAATTAGAAACAAGAAACTCTCGCTGGCTGTCTGGGAACAAACCAACAGGCGAGAGCCGATTGCTTAACAAAGGCATGTGTAGGAAAAAATGGAGATGGATTGATCGGGCATACGTTAAGGAGGCGGTCGAGTGACATGGCGCTCAATGCAGGCCATCACTGGAGTGGAAATCGAATGGGAAGCGACGAGTGGTTCGTCAGTGTGCGGGTGACATGAGGGAGATTATGCGAGTTAGAGCTGGAGAGGACAGCAGAAAACAGAACAGAGGGGAGATGTTCAGATTGAGACCAACGCTCCTCTTGGAACCCAAGGGAATAATAATAACAATAATCAGTACGCACCCACGACATCCCCAAGAATTGAAACTAAGAGGAGTCTCACGTTACTACAATAGAACACACCAGCTAATATCTCAGATTACTCTTAGTCTTGATTTCAAGTAGAGCTACAGAACTTTATCTCTGATGAGTCAAAAACTAGGACAAACATGTGTCCAGTCCTCTGCTTAGATTTCAATAATTTATTATCTGAATATTTCCCAGATTAAAACGTGTATTGTGATAAAGAAAACCCTTTCTTCTGTTTTCCCTATTTTCGAATATTTCTGTTTTTTGTCTTTATTAGGAATTTTCGTGCTTTTCATTGTAGCTAAATTGTCTGTAAAATAGTTGACAAGCGGAAAATATCCTATCCTCCCCCCCACCACCAACACCACCACAGCTACCCTCCTACCACCTCTCGTTAATCAATCTAGGCAAATTCTTACGTGACTTCACTCACTTATGATTGACCCAGTTAGAGGAAAACCGTATTTTTGAACAAACACGCATGACAAGCGTGTGTGCGTGCGTGTGTGTGTGTTTGTGCTTGGAGGCCCATTTTCACGACACACTTTTTAACGAAGAAAACGAGAAATACTTTCTCACAACACAGAGAAGAATGTGAGTGGGTGGGGGGGAAGAAAGTTGAAAGCCTACTCCAGATAGAAACATAAACACGCTCAAGCATACTTACTTTTCCGGTTAGAGAGGAATTGACATTTGACCTTGATATGACAGTTGATCTTCTCGATGCTGGTGATGTGACTGCTGCTACTGCGGTCGCTGCTGCCGCCACTGATTGTGGCATTGACGATAACTTTATCAAATTAAGATCATTGAAAATATCATCAGGTAATCTTGGTGGATTTGTACGTAATAAATAGGAAAATGCAAAAATTTGTTTTTCACACTGATTTGTGCATTGTAGTTGTAATGTTGTAGTTGTAGGCATAGATGATGGTGGAGATAAAGAACTAGATGTATGACATAATTTTGAATTCCCACCAGTTTGTTCAAATGTCAATGAACGTTTAATCATTGCCATTTTCTGTTTTCTACTTTGTTTAACAATTGAACTATTTGTTGGTAAAACCGGTGGATAGTTTGAATTCAGGGCCTCTGTTTTTGATTTTGACAACATGATGCTTTTATGATAGTTTGTTTATTTGCATTGAACGAACTAAGAAAAAAAGGAGAAAAAATTTTTTTTAATAATATAAACATATTGATAATTGCGAATAAGGAATGAAAATCATTCATTTCTATGAATATTTAGTGACTTATTTTAAAAGATAAATCCTCTAAACTTTGCTATAGGTTGTAACTAAAGTATAACTGAGAGGTAGTCAACATTGGGTTTCAATAGAACATCTCCGATTTTCTCTGTTCTTGGTAGTCATTTCTACCTCCCTTCGTGATTACCCATAGGCCTTCATCACCTCCTACATATGCCAGCCTTCACGTCACCCTCAAACATACGTCCAGATCATTGTTTCCCATTCGAAGTCTTCTCTGGTGCCTGATATCTATGGACAGTTCCATCAGTGTTTGTCCGACTCCTCTCTATTTCTTTCTGCAAATTTCTTGTTGGTCAGTAGGTTCTTGGTCGGTGTGCCACCAGAGTTCCATTATAACTTATCATTTCCGGCAAGCGAAGGCAACTGTTGATGGAAGTTTGAAGTAGCCTGTTGGAAATGGTTTTCGTGACACGTTAGCGCCAAGTCTCTGATCCATTTAGAAGTACTCACTGACTGACTTTGTGGTGAGAGCTGTCTACTAGCCAAATTGGTAGACAGTAATTTACGTCAATATTTACGTTCCCAAGATTTGTCGTGAGAAACAACCAATCGGAAGACTGTGTTTGTTTGTTTACATAGCCATAGTAATGTACATGAAAAATATAAATATGCGTTGATTTCCTTAATAAATGATCTGTTGCCTGATTCTTGCCTTCTGTCGTTACAACTTGACATTACTGTATAACGAACACTGTGTGACTTTATCCAAATAAAATCTTATCCATAATGGAAAATTTATGAAACAAACAGAGAATGAATAGAATACATTCATTCGTTGTTCAACATTCTGTGCTACATTTATTTGATTGTTTTTAGTATATCAAATATTTCGAACCCCGCTGGGTGCGTGCAGATGAAGAGTCCCGAACTAGGACGAAATAGCTGTAGAGTTTTACCAGGTTTTCCAATGGTCCTCTGGCCAATGTCAGCTCATGATGAAATCCTGTAACCAATTCATAATATTGATTTATGTCGAATGACAGATCGATACATATTGAATTTTCTACTCAAAATACAACATAAATAGTGTTTCTGTTGTGACTGTGGATACATGTATGTGTGTGCATAGATGGTCCAATGATAAACTGCTCTCATCAATCGCTTATGTAGTCCGGACTCAATTCCCAGTCGAACCGGGTAGTAGTAACCCCAGTAAGAAAGAAAGGTTAAGCGTGAGGTCATTAGTTCTCACTAACACTCTAGGACACTCATCCGAGAGCCATAGGTTAAGGTGGATTTTCAACACCAATGTCACTTCATGATGAACTCCCCCTATGTGTCAGTTTGTAATGAAATCCACAATAAAAATTAACCAAAACTCCCGACAAACCCAAAAATTTTAAATTCCCTTATGTAATCACAAAACAATTCTCTCAATATACCTACAGCCTAGAAACATACCAGATAACATCAACTATAAATTAAATAGTTTGTGATATAAGAGGGGGACAGAGAGAGAGTGTGACAAAACCAGAATTTCTGTGATAATTTTTCGGGTGGTGACAATTTTTAATCGACAAATGTAAAACAAAAAGAAAAAATGTTATTTCATCTTACATAAATAAATCATAAAACAACTGAAGCATGTAAACATGTGAATTCAGGCATAAGTTCATCCTCTCTCTCCCCCTCTCACTCTCTATACCTCCAATCAAAAAGTAGTTACTAACGTCACCCATTTTATATACCCGCCAACTCCCCTTCCTCCCACTTCATTTAATATATATCTTACTGAATACATTTATTCATTCATTCACTAAGAGAGTACAATGTAAACTGTTTTATTACTCTGCTCTAATTATTCAGTGAGTTAATTCGTTCGTGGAATACAAATCCCTTGGAGACAAATATTATTGATTAAATGGAAAGAAATGTAGTGGGTAGAGAAGGTGGGGGAAGGGGTTATAAACTGAGAGGATAAATCCATTCATACATAAAACCTTTATATGTATATATATATATATATATATTCGATTATGTCTCTCTATAAACCAATTTAATCCCCATGGCAACTAAAGAAAGACTAGAATTGATACATCATAATCATAATTATTATTAACATTTTGAAGATGATAATAATCTTAAGAGGGTAAATGGAAAAATAATTTAATCGTTTCTCTTACAACATAACACAACACACTATAAATCACCGTGTTCCCCGCTTGTAAACATCAGTATATCAAAAGATTAATTGTCAACCTATTTTGAACACTTGCCTTCATTGTATATCTTTCTTTGTGTGTGTATGTGTGTATACGGTGTCTATTCATCATTCAGTAGGAGCAGATTTATAAGGGATGTGTGTATGCGTGTGCGTGAGAAACGCTGATATAGACACTGACATCGCGCCTAAGATTATGAATAATTGTTCAGTGGTGAAACAGCCTAACAACTAACTAACTAACCAACTAACTCACTAAAAGTTATTTACTCAGGATTATTAGTAGTATCTATGCTTGGAACTTTTGGCAATTTTATCATGATTTAATTCAATTTTAGATTTTCCCGTCGATTGACTGGATCGATGTGCTCAGTCTCAGGTTGAGATGTCTGTCGGCTTCTTGTGCAGATGCTTCGACAGTGTCTGGGCATGTAATCAGAAGTTAACTGGTGGATGGTGACTAGCAGTGGTGGAATCCGGGACAACGTGCATTTCATCCTATTCGGGACTCATCATCTGGACGTGCCTGCATTCCTCAGTGAGTCAGGGATGATGTTCCCACTGAGGCTAGAACCCAGTGCCCATAGTTTCAATAGAATGCAGGCACAGAAGTAAATTAATATAAAAGGCTTTTCTTAGATCATAGGTCGGTAAAGTCAAACTATCCTTGCCAAAACCACCACAGTGACCTTGAACAACCAGTCACAATTCATATGTGAAAAATAGTCTTATAAACGTGAGAATTTATGCCCCAAAAATATATTGTTAACATGATATTACACTGTAGAGTTGTAGTTTATGTGTTGTAAGAATATCTCACAGTCAGTACAGAGATGATCTATAGGGAAATCATACCATGTGCGATATACCCATTTATCCAGGTGACTGTAGGTCCTGGTAATTTGAGATCCATTGGTATTTCTGAGAGTGACACATTCTTCAACCTACTCGTAACACTAACCCTAAACCTAACCTTAACCCTAAAATCCATAACCCTACATAACAGTATAGATTTGCAGAAAAAGTACCTAGTTAATAAGTAGATTACTGTATCTATCCTCTCCAATTCGAAAAAGGCAGGCATGACTTGATTTGGAATGACTTTTCATAGTATTCCCTGTATCTGATTGGTTCTTGACTATCAACTTTTGAAAGACCTTGACTTTGGCTGTGATATTTTAACTTTGCCCATAAGTCTTTATAGAGATTTGTATCAATTTTCCACAAACCACTAGCAGTTAGATAACTATTGATAAAACCGGCAGGGAATACTGAACAGTGGTCTTATTCTAGTTTGTCAGGTAAACAGAAAAAATAGGGAAGATACTAGTGATTAGTTTTTTCTCTTCGCATTCTTTTGCATTCTGAGTAGGACTGTATATAAATGTATGCAAATGAAATGACAAATAAGAATCCTGAAATGTAAGTGTGTTCCTAGAAAGAGATATCGAGTGAAGTAAAATTTAGGAGAATAAAAAATTATTAATTATTTAATTCAATTTAGATTTTCCTGTCGATTGACTGGACCGAAGTGCTAGGTCTATCGGCTCCTTCTGCAGATGCCTCGATGATGTCTCTTCATGTAACTTGAAGTCAACTGGTGGATGGTGAGTAGCCATGGAATCCAGGATGCGCATTTCGCTGGTTGGCTTCATACTGAAGATCAAATGGCCAGTCAGCCAGCTAGCTAGCCAAGCAGAAGGAATTAGCAATAAGAAACTGGCTGGCTGGCTGGCTGGCTAGGGACAAACCAACAGGCAAGAGCCGATTACTCAACAAAGGCATGTGTAGGAGAAAATGGAGATGGATTGATTGGGCATCGCATTCATTGCACGCAGTCGCTCGGGTGGAAGGTGAATGGGAAGCGACAAGTAATTCATCAGTACGAGGGAGACATGGAGGAGATCGTGAGAGTTGGAGGAGATAAAAGCATATAAGCAGTCATAGAGCCAGCTAGAGAAGAGTACTGCAGGGAACAGGATGTAATGGTGATGTATTGTTGAAGTCCTATAATAATTAATGTCAGTAAAAAATTTGAGCATTGTGGAATAAATCAAATAGAAAGTATAATTATATTTCAGTAGTTTATACACAACGGTAAGTTTTTTTTATTAGAAATATTTCGAGCGAAATTACTGCTACTGTGTTCATACCACTGTTGGAATTGTTTTGTTCATTATGTTATTAGTATGTGTTATTATCAGTATTAATTTCGAATTCGAATTTAAATTTCGCGCCAATTTATTTTGTCATTGATATACGCTCTCTAAATCGCCCCCCCCCGCTCCTACTGTCTTCCCCCCCCTTCCCACCATCAACACCACATACATACGAAATGTCATATAGATAATTAAACTGAACTGTCTTAATATATATATCACCAGTGATGACAGGAGTAAATTATCCATTTTGACAGGAAGTGTTTGATAAAAATAAAAAATATTTGAAACAATTTGATATAATAATAATAATAATTTAATGGTGATTCATTTCAGTTTAAGTGAACTCAGACAGTAAATATAAACTGTAGCGCTCTAGATGACTAGGTCAGTTAGTGTTAACCTTGAACTTAAAGGCCGGAGGGGGGTGTTTAATAACCACTATTCCACCTTTGTTGGGTGTATGTGTGTGTATGTGTGTTTACATCGATGTATACGTTTGTCTATGCATCCACGAGTGTGT